CCGTACTCGAAACCCAATATCCCTCTCCAACCCATCTCTCCTCTCTCTTTATTATCTCTCTTTCTCAATAGTAAACTTATAATCTTTACCTACAACATATACTGATAAGAAAAAGATGATACACACAAAGTGCGGTGGAGTTATGGGACCGGGTATGAAGAGAAATTGAATTCCACTTGGAGAAAATAATTGAACAAGTGGGCCATGGCGGAAAAAGATGACGTGAATTGTCCGGAGACTGGCTTTTTCGCCGCCGACTACGGCGTCAACGATTTTTTATAAAGACTTCTCCTTGGGGCAAAGTGACAGGCGAGTCTGTTAGAGAGATGAATAATCTGTCATTCGTGGCTAGCAACTTCACCAAAACGCTAGTGACGATTGAATTACGGCATATCCTCACACTTCGAATGCTGACATGGTGAAAATCTATGTTTCGTGATGTTGTTTTTATATTATTTTTGCTCTGGAGTTAAGTTTGTATAAGACATAAATAACTTTACACATATACTCAATAACTCAACACCCATATTATACCTGAGTATTAGCACTAGTTCTGTCTTAAATGAGAATGAGAATGAAAAACGGTACATTGCCAACTCAGGGGGTGTATTAATTTAAGATTTTAAAAGACTTTTTAGGATTTTACTGAGAATGGGATTTTATCAATTTTTTATGAATTTTGTAGAATTTATTAGAAATCCTGGAAGTGACATGTAGTATTGTGCAAGACTTTTACAGATTTCTTAGGACTTTTCAAGAATTTTGTAGACTTTCATTATAGATTGAATAAACATCAATATTAATATATAAATATACCATTGTGAGAATTTGTGACAATATTTATACATGAAAGAAAATAGAAATCATTTTGAAAATGAGAAATGTGAATTATTAATTGTTTGTTTATTTATCGTTTTGTACAACAATTGTCAAATTTGTTATAATTTTTTATTCTATTCAATAAACCACATAATCTCAAAGACGTTGTTATCATCCGATTCGGTAAGACAATTAAGGACCTTGAACCGCATCTTGGGCGAATTTGACTCCAACAACGACGTGACCCAAAGTCATTCCGGTTCGCACAATAAACCGGTACAACCATAAAAGACCGAAGTGATCCCTACCCACCGAAATCATTC